GCCCTTGCCTGAGCTAGTCAGACCTCGTTCCTGTGTTTCAAACACATCCACTTGTTTTAATTTCAAAGTGCTGATGAGCTGTGGGCATCCTACTAACTATTCATAAATTGTAGCAAGCTCTAGTTTTCCAAGTTATGCAGAGACCACCTGAAAAGGGACCTCTGGACAGGTTCTCACTGCCTGGCCAAAACTGATTGTGTGCAGTCTCCTGACTTCACTGATGAGGGCAGTTTGCTCAGTTTCAGGGTTTCCTTGTATGTCCTCCCAGTAACTCTCACGCCTTTACTTGGCTGATTCTTCCAACTGATCAAATGCCCCAAGAATTCAAAAACGTTGTTGAGGTTTTCCTTTCTTTGCTGTCTGGTAACCATTTCTGGATCTAGCTAGTAGCTCTTTTTGAGGTTGGGCTATCTCAGACTTGTGGCCATGCCTGATGATGGGACATTTCACAGTGACTAGTGAAGACTCTTCTCAGTTAGAGGTCAAATCCTGACTTTGGGCACAACTGAGTCACTGCTTGATGCAAAACTTGTTTTAAAGAGATGTGCAATTGTTTATTGCAGTCTCTATGAATCTAGAAGGACAGTGCAAGTATGAAATACTGAGGGACAACTCCTCCTGCATATTTTTTCCACTTTAAAATATATTCCAACTGTACTGGTGTGGTGCTTTGCCATTTAAACATGGCTGAAAAATCTTACTTTGAGTGCAGGGTGTAATACAGAATAAGAACAATTAAAGCATGCGAAATTCAAATGATATATTTTGCAACACCTCTTGTGTATTGAAGGTGTAAGTGCTGTGTATCTCACTTACTTGCTGGGAAAACCATGTAAATGCCGTGTATCTGTGTGGTTCCACAAGGGAGCCCCAACTTCTGTCATAGTTCAGCTATGCAGACTCACTTAAGGATATGCATCATTTTCTAGATGTTACCCAGGCTAAAGAGGTTTCTGTATCCATCCCTTAGGAACAACAGAGAGCAGCTTAGTCAAACATTAGCAGCTTTGAGGATCTGCCAACTGAACCACTTATAAATTGCCACCAAGCCTTTTTCATCAGAATCAACTTGGTAAACAGTTATTTTAAGTTAACTTTAACCATTTTTTGTAAGGTTACTATGACTGACTGCTGGCTCAGCTCTCTTAACTGGTTTATAATTCTAAATCAAGAGTGGAGCAAGCAAATAATAGAACCTTGCACCCATCCTCCTCAGTAATTAATGGATTAGCCTTGTTATTATGAGTATTCCACATCTTATTAGTCTTATTCACCAGAAAAGCTTGAATGGGCTTTGAACGGGAGAAAGAGTAGCCTTGCAAGAAGCAGAGACAGTATCATTTGAGCAAAATGATTTGAGGGAAAGGAGATGGGTACCTTTCCCAATTTTTTTTGGAGGTGGAATAGTTGCTACTCACAGTTTGGGTTTCTGGCCTAACTCTACAAATCAATGTTCCATTAAGATAGAAATAATCATTGTTACAATGCATTGTAACAATGAACAACCTATGCCTTGATGAATCTAGGCATATGATTCTGTCATCTATTTTCAGCCAGTTGTCCAGGGAGTTAGTTAAAGTCACTGATCCATCCAAAACCCACCCTGCCAAAAAAAATATGTTTTTAGTTTAACCTTCACTGATGATTGCATGATCACACAGATGGTTGCAAAGAAGAGGGCTGGATTACGACTGCTGGTATTTAGGCTACTGTGGAATCACACTGCAGGGCTTAAGTGTCAGAGGTCTCTGCACTGCTCAGTGAAAGGAGCTGAAGTCCTTTGCTGAGCCAGCAAACAGTGACATGATCAATGGTACTGATGGTCCTGATGAGAAATTTGTACTTTGGAAGGAAAGAAAAGTCAGTGCAATACCACTTACAAGAAGAAATTACCTTTTTCTTTAATTTTCCGAAGCAATCCCTGTGTTTCGCTGAAGATCTTCAGTGTGATTGCTTTCTTTGTGATATATGAGATTTTACTTTTGTGATTTATGAATTTTTAACCTTTACTTGATTTTTTTTCCTGTTCTCAATATCCAGTAGCTTTGCATTTTTATTTTGACACAGTTTTCTTAAAGTTGAATATAAGGGGGTTTGATTTTACAGGGGCTTAATTTCTAGAAGTTGTGTTCTTAAAAAAAAATAAGGTCATTTTCTTCTACAGCTAAATGTATTATTTCATGGCTTGTGCACTGTTGCCAATGATAGCAAGGACAGAGTCTCATCTGCATGACTATTAAATCACCTTAAAACACAGTCAAATAAACTTTATTTTCTTCCTTTCAAATTACCAGATAACTTGTACAGCTGTAACAGAGGAGAACTCTGTACTTGGGCTGAATCTTGAAGCGGGACAACTCATTTTTCCAGTAACACTGTAGATAGTACAGATGAAAACATTTTTAAGGTTATATCATAAAAACTTAGATACTAGAATTGACATATTTAATCAGAAGCACGTGTATTAAGGGAAGAGATGATTTTTTATATTATTCTTCAGAGTTAATTCCTGCAGCAGAAGAATTTGTCTGCTTACTAAGCTCAATAGTTGGGCATGTTCAGAACCCTTGATACTCCCATTAACTCTGATCAAGATTTAGAAGGGCTGTCTGGCTTGTTGCCTTTTGTCTACAGCTGAGTAATGCTTGGACATGTTTTCTTCCTAGATCTGCTTATGTAGCCTTATTCTTACACGATACAGGTTTTCTCTCACATCTGCTGCACATTTGTATGTCTTCTGATCTTGCAGCTGTGTGTTTCTTACTCTACAATAGCATAGAAATTAGAACAAAAAAGCCCACTTTTAAGATTTGTTCCTGGGTTGGTATTTGAATTTTCTTCCCCTCCACTCTCATTGCTTCTTTCAGACAGCTCTGTGAGCATTCAGTGCAATGTTTCATGCTAGAGTGTGCCTGGTAGATGTCAGCAATAAGTTAGCATTTTCTTCGGGCGGTAGGGAGGGTGACAGAAGTGCTCTCTTGAAGTATTTCCCTATGTATTATTGAAAAAGTTTGTGGACATCTGATGTTCTTTTCATGGTACCTCAGCACTGAGTCCAAGATAATATATTCTGTCTTCTATAAAGTTGCCTGAAGATATTTTAAATTATTTTTAAAATAGGATGGTAGTAAGTGGAAAGAAAATAATAAAGTGTCTGTAATGAATACAAAGATAAAACCAAATTAGGAGAGCATAAAAAAAATACACACAGGATATTTTACTTACATCTTCGGTATGCACCAACTCCTACTCATCACGCTTGCAAATTTGAGACCTGGCCTTGTACAAAATGCGCCACATGGCTGTGATGTATAGATGTGCACGCATCACATTCCCCACTTTTGTACTAAAATGTACTAAAATTAACCTTAATTCCAACCTCCGTGACATCTACATAGAGGCCTGATAAAGGCTGTTGTAGTCTGTGATGCCATATACTCTCACAAGTCAACACATAAAGTAGATATAATAATTCACTTTTCCTGTCTAAAATGGTCTGACATATAGGTGTATTCATTTAGAAGTGTCACTTCAAGATGATGGTAACTCATTATATCTCCTTGTAAAACAAGGTTACGCATGGTAAGTCAGTGCACCCGCAGTAGGGATCTGCCAGCACAGACGTACTGGTCAGGAACCTCATCTCTTGCTCTTGTGTAGCCAACTACATCAGCAGAAATCTGTACCATAGATAGGTCTTTAGCTTGATGTGATTTAAAAACATAGTTTTCATCCTTTGGTCTTGAAACATTTTACAGTAAAAACAAGTGTTATCCTGACTCATCCTAGGGAAAATTAATATTTATTAATTTAATTACTTAATTTCAATAACCAGGGCTGGTTAAGTGCTAATGATAAACATTCACCCTAGGTGTTTGAAGAAATGGACCCCAGTGATTGTCTGTATTTATTGACAGACAAGGATCACTCACACTTAGAACTGTTCTGAATTTGACTTGAAGTTATGCTGCAAATTGCTAAAATACTGTCTTTAAAATGTTGCCGTTGTTGTTTTGACTTTTAAGAGTTGATTGAAGAATAAACACATTCACGTGTTTTATCACACTGAGCACAGGGAACCCTTCATTGGATAGTCTTTTGATGCTACTGTAATAAATAGAATCATTAATGAAGATAAATATCAGCAACCATGCACAGTCTTCCTTGCTGCTTCCATAATGCTGCTAGAAGAAAGGTGTGCTCTTTTCTTAGCTCCTTTATCTATAGTATATGCAAGTAAGTGAAATCACTTTTGAGAAGCATTTAAAAGTATTTATGTGTAGTAACCCTTAGTACAGATAATCTGATTTTTTTAAAAACAGTCTCTAAACTGTCAGCACTTCCTTCCCTCCTAAAGTGTACAGCCTACATTTCCACGTGCAAATGGACATTTTGCTGTAGAGTTAGCCACATAGGGCTGAATGTGAGTATGGTTGTGCATGGCTGTAGCTCACTTGACACTGAAATGTTGGTTGGTACCTGCCTGTGTGCTTTAGCAGGACTGTTCTAGGCTGCTAGTCTTTTTACAGGATAAAGCAGTGACCTTTCTACCATTTTGATGTATCTTTCTACTTTTACACGGCTTGGTTGATAAGGCAAGTATCTTTCTGCTTTGCATTCGGTTTTATCTTTCAAGTTTTTGGAGCCTTTTTTTTTTTTGCCCCAGTCTTTGCAAGGAAGTAAGAAGTGTGACAGGAAGGTGTGATTTTTAATTTACACCAGAGTTCTCAACAAATAATGACTTTTCACACCCTGTTATTGCTGCTTAGCCTGGGGGAGGGGTTGTATGGCTACTGTTGTCATATCAAATTAAGTCCACTCATGTAATTCAGAAAGACATTCCTCTTAAACTTAACCCTTTTAAGTTGCTGAAGTCTACTGGCACAGGAGCATAAGATGAAGTGTGTCTATTTTGGGGGTCTCTACTGCTGAAGGAAGAAAACAGAAATGTTTTTATTCAAGGATGGTGCACCTTTTTTTTTTTTTTTTTTTTTTGGTAGCGCTGTGGACCAGATCCTGATGAGGTTTGTGTGGGTGAATCCTCATGTTAGCCTGGAGCTCACTTCAGGCTCAGGGTATGTGCGTGGATGTATTTTAAGAAAGGAAATGTTTGGCCAACGATGCCAGACACTCGCGTGCTCATCTGAAAAGCTTGTTTGCATAGTTTCCTCTGATGTTGTTTGCTGCAGATTGAAAGCACAGTCATGGAGCACTTAGTACTCCTTTATGTAGTAGAGCTAAAACACATTAATAAGAAAGTCACCCTCGGAGAGAGTTTTCTGCAGAGTAGGACAAGCTTTGTCTTTATAAGTAATGTTCTCTCGAGGAGCCTGCTGTTGATGTTGGTAAGCTATGTGCCCCCCTCGCGATTCAAGAAGCCTCCCAGGGAGGAGGCTCACGCTTCGTGCTGGGTTCATTCACCCGTGGGTGGGGGGCCTTGTCCGTGTTCCTTCCCAGGGAGGGCTGGAGCCTGAAGGCTGGGACTAGAGAATAACGGCGGGAGCAGTACCCTCCCCTCCCTTCCCCAGGAGCTTTATTGCCCCTAATTGTGGGTAATTAAGGGTTAAGTGTTTGCTGGAGTACCTGCCTGGTGGTGCAGAGAGGGTTAAGGTGCTTGACTTACTGTAAACATACATGTGACAGACTCTTAGCTGATGGTGGGTTTGTGTTTTGTTTTGGTTGGTTGGTTGGTTTTGGTTTTTTTTTGTGTGTTTTTTTTTTTTTTTTGGTGTGTGTGTGTGTTTTTGTTTTTTTTTTTTTTTTTTTTTTCCCCCTGTAAAATGTCAGCTATTTCCTGATGAGCGTGGTGGTGGTGAATTTCACACCTTTTTTCTTCTCTGTGGAAACCTGGGTGTTAATGGTACTGGAGCAGGTCGTGTTTTATAAGGAATGAGGCTGTCTCTTAGAGCAGAGGGAAAGCAGAGGAGGTGAAGAGAGGGATTTAAGAAAGCTGCTACTTCCAACAGGTATTAGTTGGATTATTTTGCACTATTCTGATTTGGAGTACATAAAAGTAACATTATTTGCTAAGTGATTTTTTTTTTTCCTATGAAATGTTGGAGTTCAGTATTAAAATAATCTTATCTTTTTCATTCCATGATGAAATTTAGCATTGTAACACCTGAAGATGGAAAGTTGGTCGGTTGATGAAGTCTGCAACTGGTTGACACAGAGAAATCTAGGAGAACTAGTTCCTAAGTTTCGTGGTAAGCATTTTTGTTGTTTGTGTGAGGTTTGCTCAGTATATCTTTCTATGCCTTTAATTGTCACTGCCTATCTTGGTCTGAAGTGTGTGTGTATATATATATATATATATATATATACATACACATATATCTGCTAACTTGGACTCTTATAGAAATTTATTAGGGTGAGAACTGACATAGATCTGAAAAATCAGAAAAAAAATATCATTTATTATGAAGCCTTTGAGAAATGCTAGGGGATGAGATCAAGTCTGTATATAAATAGATGCACCTCACATCAGAGCTGGCAGTTTAAAAGGCTTGACAGGGCCTATTTTATGTTGTATAAATTTTTTTAAATAATGCACCTGTAGTGTGTAAATGTCTTATGTCTGAGTATATAAACACTCTACAAAAGAGTGCATGAGATAAGGTTGTGTGAACAGGCTACGTGCTGTGTGCTCTGCTAAAAATCTTCCTTTTCTTCATTAACAAAGTAACAGCCTGCTGCGGTCTAAGCAAGGCCTGATTTAAAGCATGAGAATGGGCAGTTCACTGCTTCTCTGTTTCAGGCTTGGCTTTTTCTCAGGGGATGGTACCTGGACAGTGACTGGGACTCCTGGTAGTCCTTGGGAAAGGAAAGTAGCACAAACATCATCTTTTTAGCAGTTGAAGAAGACCATCAGTAGTAGAAAGTATCCCTGCCTTTGACCTGTCCTCCATCATCATGTTTTTAGGCATATAGAATGTTACTGTAACTATAAAGTTACTTTACAGCAATTCTGTAATCACCTTCAATCTGCAGAAGAAGAAGTAAGTGGAGCAGCTCTTCTGGCTCTTAATGATCGTATGGTGCAGCAGCTGGTGAAGAAGATTGGGCACCAGGCAGTGCTGATGGACCTGATTAATAAATACCAGCAACAAAGAAGTGGGCTAGAACCCCTTGCACATTCTTGTGAAACAACTTCTCCAAAATTTCCAGAAGTAATCTGTGGGTGAGTTTGTACATGGCACAGAAAATATCAGTCTGGGTATAGTTGTATTCTTTTCATAGTATTTTAAACCTGGTGTTTACTAGCTCTTCAGCTGTAAGTTATAACTGGTTTTTATATTTTGAATATCTCTAATACCATGTGAAATGCAAAATAAGGTTATTACCTTGTTGTTTTAAACAGGGCATCGATGTTCCTGAAAACCATTAATTAACTTAAACTGCTCTTTATTTCTAGTTCTAGGATCTAGTGTTCATTAGGATGAAGCATCATCTCACTTTCACTATAGCTGAAATACTCTGTATTTGCAATATTAAGCTTTTGAAGCACTTACTTTTAAATGTTTGCAAGTCTTGGAGTAAAATCATGATTTAGCCAGAGACAGTATTTTGTCACAGGTATATTTAAATTCAGGCTTTCAAAGGAAGCTCTGAATTTGATCTAGGTGTAATCATATAATAATCCCACTGTGTGGAATTATATTTTTAGAAAACAAATTCTGCAGAGATTGTCTTCACTGAGCATGTTATGGCTCTTGCTTGAGTAGGGTTTCTTCTCTTTTTTTTTGGGGGGGGGAGGGGAGGGGCAGAGGTTGTTTGTATTTTATTTTGGGGGTTGTTTTTTTTTGTTTGTTTGTTTTTTTTTTTTTTTGGTTGGGTGTTTTGGCATAGGTTGTTTGTGGTTTTGGGGGTGGTTTTTTTTTAATTGGTTGGTTTGGTTCCCTCCCATACCTCCCCTCCATTCTGATCTATTGTATGTTTTACAGAATTATTATTTCTGGATATCTTGGCTGAGGAGAGACATCCTGAGCTCTCATTGTGGTCCCTCCTAAACCCAAGTATCCTGAAAGTAGAGAATGGCTTGTCTTGGATGCAAAATGCTCTCCTTTGAAGGAAAGGACTCTAGCGCTAAGCCTGCATTGATACATGGTAGTAGCCCAGTAGGAATAGAGCTATAGAGAATTCTCTGCGGCTTTTGCCTTCATCCAAAAGGAGACCAGGTTGTGCACTCTGAGATGACTCCACAGTGCAAACCGATCACCAGTGATGATGACTGAGTTATCTCCAAACAGATTGCACTCAGGAACAGAACTAAACTGCTTGTATAGGTACATCCCCTTGCCCTTGTGAAAATATTTATGAAACCCCTTGGGTAAATGCTCCTGAATCATTGGAGGGAAGCGGGGGTGTGCGAGAAGAGGACAATGTCACCGCATCTATGATTTATCATAGAACTGACGTATGCAATCACAGCCAGTCTCAGTTCTCTGCACCAGGGTCCTGCCTCGCTTGATTTATAGGAAGCTCCCTCTTTGGAGGTAGAGCAGATGTCTGCTGAGAGGAAGATGACTGTATGTGGGCCCTGTACTTCATCCAAAGCGCAGTAGATACATAGCGATTTCAACAGAAGTAAGCATGTTCTTATGTTTAGGGCAGTTTGAATACTGCTTTGGATATTTAGATTTCATTCTTGACTTTATCAGGAATTTTTGGCTAGACTGCATCTCAGGTGTGACTGTCCCCCGTGTACTTAAAGTCCTGCAAGTCAGGCCTTAGCTGTTTCACAAAGAGCGTGCAGTACCAGTAGTGTGAGGCCGCAGCTTTTCTGTGAAGTTTTGCAGACTCCAAAAAAATAAAATGCTGGAATTATAAAATATTACTGAATATGTTTTACCTCAAAATCTTTCCCTACCTAGTATTCTTACCTGGAAAACAAGATGCTGGTATTCCTCTATTTACAGGCAAGTTAGGTAAATAAGCTGCCGTTTCTGAAACACTTTTGTGTGTCAGAGTCAAGGACCACAGAATAAAACTAAAGCCTGTTTAAGAAATGCATTCAGTCATGTATTTTAGAATGAGTAAAAAAATCAATATATTCTATGCAGTTTAGGTATAGAATGATGAAAAACTCCTGCAATAAAATTAGTATTTTATTATAAAATTAGAAGCTGTATGCTCATATGCAAGTAGCTGTAATTGCTATTTCTTAACTCTGGAGTGCTTGTCTTAGTGATGTAGTTTGAAATTATTTTGTCTGTTTGGTACATATGAACAAATCCCCATAAGAATAATTTATTTTGACCTAATTCAGGGAGTTATGACTAGAATAAAGTGTATGAGACACTTTTTTGAAGTAATGTAATAAAATTATTTTCTTTCTAAGCTACTTTGCACAGAGGAATAGAATATGTGACAAAACCAAAAATTCATAGATCCACAGTGGATGTGAAGTGAATCCATGTTCTCTCCATTGCTCAGTGATGTTAGGCTGAATTGCAGCCTTGGTCGCATGAGCAAAGCCGCCGTGCTGAGGTTCCCTGTTAGCAGCATCCACAGCTGAGTGTGTGGTCCCACAGCAGCGGGGGACAACTGTGAAAACTGAGTCTGCGCGTTCCTAGTCGTTCCCCTGCGGTGCTTGAGCCCATGTGAAAGCCAGCCACCCTTTCTGTTTTGCAGAATTATTTCTCAGTCAGGCCAGTTCCCAGAACTAGCTCATGCTGCGAGGGCCAGGGCCAGGGCCAGGGTGGAGAGGCCATTGCTCAGGGCCAGGGAAGGAAGAAGCACCGTAACCGTCTCCTTCTGGGTCGGCTGAAACAGCTGTGGAGCTTCCAAGAGCTGTCAGCAGTATTTCCCAGTTGCATTTCTCATGTGAATGCCATCCCCAGTGCTTGCTGGCGCACTCCTGGCTGGCCACCTCTTTATCCTGGTGTCCTTCGCCCATCTCCGAACCGCGTCTGAGTTGTGCTCTGCTCACCTCTCTGCAAGGAGCAGAAATAAAGTGGTTGGCTGGACATGGAGTTTTGAGTATGGTAGGTGAGCGCTTTCTGTGTGGAAATAATAGACTTGTGAAAGGACACCAAATGTGATTTACATCTCCAGCAGTTTGGCTTAGGACACGGACATGGCATCTTGTGTCTGCTGCTGGTGAGGCGGAGGCATTCTGGGTCATGCAGTAGAAACTATGTGTTTATGTGCATATGAGGAGCTCACACAGATGTTATCAGGTAAATATCAAGATGCTTTCCAATTCCAAGATCGATTGTGTCTAGGAGCCATGTGGAAAACACACTGGATTTCTCTGATTTTTAACTGGATAGCTGAAGAAGATGTATTGATTCATGAAAAGGGGAAACTCCCATTGTAAACTTGGCAGATGTTAATGTCACTTCCAATAACAGTCTTTTATGTGTGATGTGTGAGTGTAGCTGAGGCCAGAACAGTCTATAAAACATCTTTGGAGTTCAGAGGTCCTGAAGAGATGGGGTAGAGAAAGGAAGCTAGCCCCACCATCACTCCCCCACTCGCTTCCCCCTTACCCTACACTCTCACCCCTCTCCCCCCCAACCCTCCCCCCAAGAAAAAAAGAAAAAGGTTGATAACTGTGGTGAATTCTTGGCAGCATAACAGTAGCCCCTATTTTGTCTCTGCATTTCCCCCAGAGCAGCATAAAACTGTTGATGTTGGCTTTTACAAACAAAAGGAGAAGAAGAAGATATAACAGGAAAATTAGGAGGGAGAGATTGGACGCAAAGGTTAAATGCAAAACGGTGGTTTGGACTAGCAGATAGATGGCAAAATGGGTATCTGGAGGTTTTGGTACTAGTGACAGGCTGGAGTGGAGCAAATAACCAGGAGCATCCAGACGTGAGACCAGGTCGCATTTGGGGATCATCTAGAGCGGTTGGATTAATGCAAAGCTGACTTGAAGGTTCAAGGTGGATTTAACCTCCACATGAAACAAGTGTTCAAGGTTCTAGCTGAATAGAAACTGCTTTAAAATACTGTGTAAATCACTTTCACCCTACCCCTTCCATATTGTAGTGGTTAGTAATTCCCAAAGATTAGGAGATGCCAGGCTATGAAGATGGCAGTTGTCCTGCAACCCTGAGAAGGATTATTTTCTTTGGTTTTGTAACTGTGTAGTAATTAGAATATCACTAGGCAGTATTATTTACAGTTTTCTGTTTTAACTTGTCAGAGTTTGGTAATTGAGCTGAGAGATTGATTAAGAGACATCAGCATCACATAAAATCATGACTATTTAATAAGTTAATTTTTCTCCTTTTGTATTTCTGCCTCTGGTATTTTAGAACCCTAAAATACCTTTTTCCTATAAGCTGCACAAAACCTGACAGTGAAATTATTCTTTTTTTTTTTCTTTCTTTCTTTCTTCTTCCAGGGCTACAGACAAACAGATGTTAAATTCTTCTGGTCCTGTGGAGCAGAAAAAATACCTGTGCTCAAGTGAAAGTGAAGAAGGACTTATTGATCACAGAGTACTAAAGCAAAAGTGAGTTTTTAATTAGTTTACTAAATTTTCCTTAACTTTTGAAAATGACATAACCACTTTTTTTTTTATGTCATTAAGACTAAAAAAATACTTTATAAAAAGTGAATCCTAATTGTTGGAGGCCTGGTTCAGGTATATCCAGGTATATTTAGAAAACAGCAGGAGCAGAAATTTATTAGGATTTGGCTGAATGAAATTAGTATAATGGTGTTTTTTCTGCCCTCCATCCTCAGTCTCTTGCTCACTATCTCATGATACCTCATGCAGAGGACAAGATACAGGTTTGTCTTTGTCTAGTTTTTAAATATCCTTTTCTACAGATGTGTTTTCAATAGCAATCTGGTAAATTAATCATTACAGAGTGGAATTCAGCTATAAAGAAATTGTGTGCTTGAGGCACCTTAAACATAGCACTTGGGAAGATAGTCTTGCTCATTTTCCTTGGGTATCAAAATGAGTCTCCCTAAAAAATGGAAGCAAGACAGAGGAAGTGTTTTGTTTGTTGTTTATTGTTTTGGTTTGTTTTTTTCCCTATGCATGCTTTTCTACTTTGAAATGGGCAATTAGTGTTGGAAGAGAGTCCTGTTCCTCTTTCAAGACAATTGTTTTCATGTTTGTGAAACGTGAAAAGCTTTATTCCCACCTGTAAATTCCGCCCCACTCCCTTACCACAGATGTGACTGATGGTTTCACCATTCTGAGATAAGAGGAGGTCTTTCTGAAGAAATGTTTATTTTATCGCTTTAAAAAAATTAACAAGGAGCTAGGAATAAGGCTGTCTGGGAACAGAGAGGGCTCAGTGAATCAGATAGTTAATGCTTTTAAAATAAAGTCCTGCTACAAGCTTCAAAAGAACTAAACAAAAAACCCAAAGATCCTGTCAGCATTATTACCAATGAAACAAAACCAAGCCACTTAAACCCTCAGAATAAACCATTAAAATGATCTTGCAATAATGGTTTTTAGTCTGTACTTCTAAAGGATGCCTATTTTTAATTAATGGGTAATTTGCCCAGAATAGGCTGGCTTTAGGAAATGTTCTCACCAAATATTGTCAGTAGCAGCTTTCAGAGGCCCTTTATGGCCTCTTGAGGGGAAGGGACGCAAAAGAGCAGTGCCAAGTCACCCTGGGGCAGGGGAGCAGAAGCGGAGGGAAGTCTGCTGCTGCAAATGGAAGTGACCCTTCTCCCTGAAGTAGTAGATGCCCTAAAAGTCGGTGAAGCTGTGATGATTTGTAGTCTTGGAGACCAGGGTAAGTTTTATGAGGCCTTCTCTTTAAAGGTCAGATGAGTAGCTGGCAAATGCCTTTCTTGGAAGCAGCTGTTTTAACTAAGACTGAGGATGGAACTGAACAGCCTGTGCATCCATTAGCTGCTGCACGGGGTTCATCCCAAGATAAATACTGTTTTTGGAGGTGGATACTGTTGTTTAGGTACGTTTATAGCATGATCCAAAGTGATAAATGCTGTATTATAGGGGTTAGATTTGATTTTTTTTTTTTTGTCTGTCTTCTGCCTGCTTTCTTCTCCCTACAGTATGTACTTACTGCATTTTCAACAATGATAGAAAACTGTAATGTTATACATGCTTGAGGGGATTTTGCCAGCCATAAGGATGTTATAAAGGGATGAACAAGATGTTTGCTTTATATTTGATTATGGGAACAGAAAAAGTTGCTTTAACTATAATATAATGATAGATTATTGGCCTAGAATATAAAAGTAACTCCCGTGTCCATTCCACTAATATACGTACTTTGAAAGCTGGGTTGGTTGGTTCAATCAAGTTCCAGTCTATGGATTTACGTGCCACAGCAAGAAGTGTTTTTTCACATCAGATTAATCATGGCTATTTTTGGTATTTTGGCATAATATTAGTTGATATTTCTGTTAGATCAACTAATGGGTTTTTTCCATTGCTTGAAATTTGAACTCTTTAAAGTCTGTGTATTTGTTTCTCTCCCCTAGTCTCTCATTTTAACTAAGGGGGAAAGGGAAGCTGTAGTAATATAAGGAGGTGGTTCTGCTAATAAAAGACTCTGGACTGCCTCATTCTGAGTAAGAAGGAGGGTAGGTACACATTTCTCATCAGCCAGGACAGATTTGGAAGAGCAGCTAAGAACAATGATGACTGTCACTCTTCCTCAGTGGGTGTTCCCACCTCACCCACTTATATGAACATTATATATGAACAGCAGAGCAGTTCATATAAGCACTTCTAGAGTCAGTTCTGCCAGGGATTAGTTTAATTCAGTGGAGTTGGTTTAAATGTACAGTTCAAATGAGCAATATTAGGCCAGGGTTACACCTGTAGCCTCTGTTTCCTTATTCGTTTCATCCAACCCAAAAAAGAACTTAAAATTTTGTGGGTTGGATTTCTGTTTTGTTTTGTTCTGTTTTGTTTTCTCTCCCCAAAAGACCCATGCAACTACAGCTTCAATAACTGGCATGGTTTTTCTTGTGTAGACAGTTCTAACAACTGTGTTAAATTCTTCTGTATTAATAAATATTACAAAATTATGAGAGAAGATTGTTTAAACACAAACATAAAGAGCAAGTGGATGCAACAGTGGTGTAATTTTATTTTTCTTGTACTGAGATTGTGCATACATAGAACCAGATGAGGTTTGCAGGTTACCTCAATGCAATAACTTTTTGCTAGCAACTACAAAAGTAAAACTAGCCAGGCTTTTTCTTAATCTTCCAAGAAGATTAATCTTGAAGCAGTGCTTTTCAGTGAAGACAATAAGACAGCTACAGAGGACAATTCAGTAAATACATTTCTCCTATACCTCTTTTCTGTATGCGAGTACCAGCAGTCTGATGGCTCCTGGCAGCCTGGTGTTTATCTTGTTGCTAAGACAGGGGCTGTCATTACTTGTGAATTCCTGATACTGCCGTGAAAAAAACAACCTTTTATTGGCTTATACATGCTGTCTGCCTTTCCTCAAGGTGTTTGTTTATCAAATGATGTCCCTAATGTATCCCTTTTTCACTGTTTCCAATATGACAGTCCAGCTGTTTTCCTTCAAGAGCGATGTCGTGACACAGGTTTATTTGTACATTTATTCTTTCTATAAAAACGTGTTCTGTAGCTCGAGTGTTGTGTAACAGATTTACTGTCTGAACGCCTTGAAGTAATTTGCTCAGAGCAGGCTTATGTGTACAAGCAGGATAACAGATGATCTGGCCAGCCTTGACAGCCTTGAACTTCTCTATTTGTTGTGAATTTGGAAGATGTGGTCAGTGCTCAACTAAACCTGGGCCTGCTTAAGTGTTCATATACCAGTGAAGCTGATGACAGGACATTGGTGCTGGTGCCTCCATACATTTGGTCTGATAGCGAGGACGATGAATCGGAAGATTTAGCTGAAAATAAACTCGGCTCCTGTCTCCGAGATGGCCATGCAAGCCTGCATGGTTGCAAACCACTGTTCATTAATGTCCTCAGCGGAGCTAGCTTGTCTGCTGCAAGCCCTCTCGGGGTCGGGCACCCACCAACATGCACTGGTGCAACGTTTGAGCCAGTAACACCCCGCTGATAGGGACTGGAGGTGAGCAGAGCCCGGAGCCACATTAAGGATGCTGCGCATCCCCTTAGCTAGGGCAGTCTGGCATCTAGTTCAGTCAGGCTGCCGGCAGCTGTGCTGACTGCTGGGTAGCCACGTCTGGTGTATGATTTAGTTTTGACTTGCCATTCTGCTAGTGATCTCTATAGAGCTCCTTCCTTTGCTTTCCCATTACCCATATATCATCAGTATTGTCGGTCTGTGTTAAAACACATTGTGATTGTGCTTTAAAAAGAATAAAAGAAAATAAGATAAAGTAGTAGCTACCCTGAAAAATTGTCACTTTGCCAATTATTTCAAATGATTTTGTTCCCTTTACACACGAGAGCAAATATTACATTTATATGTGTACATATATACACATATGCAGCTATAGCCCTACAAAGAAAATCTCAGCTGGGCTGTGCCTTTTTATATGTAACTTAAGAGTTTCTTAGTTTCTATGCAGAAACATTATTGTTGATATAATCAGAATTATTTCTAGTTGGTGTGATGATCTTTTTTTTCAGTTAGTTCATATGGACATGAAAAGCAGCCATTAAAAAAACCACAACCTGTTAAGTCTTTAAGGGTCAATAGTAGAAGAAAAGAAGTACTGTCTGTCTGTTTTGTTCAGAAGTACAGACATCTGATGCTTCCTTTGATTAAACCTTTTCAACAACTAACGTTTAGGGATTCCAAACCCATGAATTGCCTCTAGTCCATTAATTTTAAGTGACTGGCTGAATCTTTCTTCTATGAATTTGTCTCAATATTTCTGAATCTATTTATTGCTCCAATAGTAGATTTACCTGTTGAAAGATGTATCATAACAGAAAAATAATTTCTGTTTTATTTTGATGGTCCCTGATAATTTCACTTCAATTGTTACTCCCATCTTCATCAAAACTATTATATCTGTGGATTTTGGTTTAATTTGTGTAGAATTTTGGGGAGATTCTTTAAATTTAGATTTTCAATTTATGTCGTTGCAAAAATTTCTGCCATTTTTTTTTTTTTTAAGTCGGCACTTAATGTCTCTATCACTGCAGCAAGAATCTTAAATTAAAAAAACCCAGAAGACTCACAATAATGTCTCCTCTGTGCTTGTTGCCTCAATATTTTGGAAGTCAAGGGAACTGGACTTGTGGTTTTGGAGCACTTGCGGTTAGCAGACCTGAATTTACTGATATGGTGCCGCAGGTCTTCCACAAAATTTTGCATGAAAAAAATAATTGTTAAATCCCCTTTCTTCCACACTAGAAATTAGCCAGGACTTACAAATGACTTGCAGGAGATCCTAACTGCATTGCCTTGTTAAGGTCTAGTAAAGCCATAAAAACAACAAAAATCCCAAATACATAAAATTCTCTGAATACAGTATAACACATCTGACATGGGTGAATGCAGATAAACCTCGTTTCTTTAAAATGGCCTGATTTAGCTGGCAGTT